GTAAATCTATTTCTGTAGTACGTGAGGCAGCAGCGGCTACAAATTAATTCAATCTTCAATGTGATTTGGTTTGTGCGTGGCCTTGTTCTCTGTTAATTGAAAGATTTGATTGATTTCAAGGTTTGGCTATTTTGAACATTGTCCCAGTGCATCTTCGGTTGGATTGATTTGAAGTTGTTTTAGTTCGTTATTTTGGGTCTTCTTCAACTCTGATTCTGAATATTTTGGTTCATCTATTTGGTGAGGTCTTTCCTCTTTGTTTATTTGTGATTATTTGGAATTCACCTAAGGGTGATTTTGTGAGACTATTATTACTCATTTGTAATCATTTGAAAACTCTTGGTTGATAATGGAATGGGATTTTGGCCCCGTGGATGTACCTCACATTGAGAGAACCAAATAAAAATTCTTGTGTCGTTTTATGCAATATTTTTATTTCTTTCAATTGATTTACTTGTGAGAAATCATTTATTTTCCCTAAGAACAAGATCATTTTTTGGTAGAGTCGATGAGAGAGAACAACTAGTAGCATCTGGTGGTTCAGTCAAACAAATTCCGCCAACCCAATTAAAACCACCAATCCCTTCTCTTGTGTTCAATCCACAATGAACAAAATTATAAAGGAAAACTTTTCCTTACCAAATCCTATACTCTCATCTTTTTCTGAAAGAATTGGGCATGATTTTGCTCCCTCCAACCACTCTTTGCATATTTACAACTTGTATGAATTGCGTATTGTATCGTGTATCGAAAGTTTTTTTACATCTATATTCTATTTAAACTTCTATTATCATAATTTTACAATTCACGATTCTATTCACAATTTATAAAAAAATTGACACAAATCTATGTGTAAATCTATTTTGAAAGTGAATGAATATATCCTGAATCACACGATTAACAATCGAACAATCAATTCACTTTTCACGGTTCATGTAATTTTTAAAAATATCATATTCAACATATTTCGATTCATTTTTTCCCCTCTTTTTAGTGGAAATATGCATGATTTTTTTGTTGTTTGGGTAATGAGTGAGTTTTTAACTTCTTTTTCTCATTTTTTTTTCCTTAACACAAATCATAATGTATCTTCTAAGTTGCACCATGAATTATATATTATCAATATTACATGAGTGAAGTTAGTTAAATAATAAATTAAAATTGAACAATAAGCGTAAATACCTTTTAGAGAGTTTTAAAATTTTAAAATAAAGGATTCCAAATGTCATTGTCACTTAGAAAGGTATGTAAGCTTATTGTCTGAATATCAATATCGTTGCTAAGTAATTATTACTAAAAAATTGAGAGTTCGTCTTTGTTTATTTTCTTTATTAAAAATGGTTGATAAGAAATATCTAAAAAATGAAAACGTAAAGTGGTGATATTACATTGAAACCCGTGTTACCTCATTACCCATTGGACCACATAATTATCATTCAAAACAACATTTTCATTGATTTAAATCTAAATATTTCATATTTATAATATATATTTAACATCTACTTGAGTGTGCAGATATATTATCCAAGTAATTTAAAAAATGTGACCAAATCTTTACGACTCACGATTCGATTCAATTCACAATTCCATACAAGGCCATTTCAATTCACAATTCGAATCACGATTTGACAACTATAATTTAAAAGACAAATAGAAAATAAATAAACAAGAAAAAACAAATATCATATGAGAACAAAATATTATACAATGTATCAACCTTGAAATTGCAACAGTAAGGTTCCTTGGAATAAATATAAGCATGCAACAATAGATAATTAATTCATGCACAATAGCACTTCAGTACATTATTATATCCTCTAATCCAATTTACAACTTAACAACGATGTTAATACAAAAGAAGTGTGGAATCATTGGGTTTAATTGATCTCACTCATGTAATATTGAACTATATTTATTTCAATAAAATAGCAATATATAATCCAGGGTGCAAGTTAGTTTAACTTTAAACATTTTTAGAAGATACATTTTGATTTTCTTTTAGGAACAAAAAATGAGAAAGTCAAAAAAAAAATGTTAGGTGTGATTTGATTGGATTATGTTAAAAACTCCATAATCACCAAGATAACAAGGAATCATATATATAGTTATTTGCCTACTAAATGCTATTAGAAGTTGTAGTATGCTGATTTCACTAAAAAGAGAAGAAAAAAAAAACAAAAACAAACAAATTATGTCATAAATGACAGTTTCAAAAATTGCAAGAATTATAAAAAGTGAATCGAATTGTGCATTCACCATAGATTAACTTCCAAAATAGATTCACCCATAGATTCATATTGATTTTGCAGAAATTGCAAATCAAATCGAGAAAAGTAAGATTTTGATAACAAAGGTAAACATGTATATGGAATTAGTTTGTGTGTACGACTTTCGATGTGTAATATGTTAAGTGTTTTGTAACTAATGCTATATTTGGTTTAAGAGAATGAGTTGGAATGGAATGGAATAGAATGGAATGATCATTCCCTTGAAATAGTGAATGATGATGCCATTTATAATGCATTTGTCATTATTGTTTTAGTCAACCAAACATGAGAATGAATATTTTGATGGAATGACCATTTCATTCCGTTTCATTTGAGTGAACCAAACACTACCCAAGTGTTTAATTATGACACTTGCAAGAGATAGGTGGAGCATCAAACACCAAAAGGAATCAAACAAGATTTTTGTACAAGATATATGTGTGTCATATACGTGCCAATGTATAAGTATATACATTGCAGAGTTAACTTTGGGGTGTAAACAAGATGAGGGTGAATTACAAAAAATAATAAAATAAAATCAAAATTTAAAATCGAAAGGGTTAAAAAGTTGTCAAGGCTGGAAACAAAATTAGGATTTTTGCCAAAAATTCACACTATCTAAGGCAAAGGATTGAAAAGAATAAACTAGAATCAAAAGCAAAGAAAATCTGAATCCCGATACGTAAACATGTCACAAATTTGAGAAACGTGACAAATAGTGAGGACTAAAACAAGAGAAAGAGTGTAAAAAAGTGATTATTCTACAAATTATGAACACCATTCTATTATAAAACAAAAATGATAAATAATAATCACGTTTAGATCACCATACCTTGTCTGCATGCTGTCCATGAAATCACGTTTCCTATCACAAGAAATCGGTCTAACATAAGTTATCCCAACAAACATGATTATTCTACAAATTATGAACACCATTCTATTATAAAACAAAACTGATAAATAACAATTATCTTTAGATCACAATACTTTTCCCGCCTGTTGTCCATGAAATCAATTGCCCTATCACAAGAAATTGGTCAACATGAGACAAGTAATCCCAAATATTTATAAGGCAACAACTTCTGAACAATGGACATATATAAAGGACTTCCCCTAAGGATTTTCTTCTTTGATGTTTACACACAAGTTATATCAGAAAAAAGACCAGGAACAGTTTGATTTTCCTGATATCTTTTACCAGGATGTTGATCATTTTGGATGGGGGATGCATCATAATCCCTGTAGCTGGCGATTCCTTTTGATTGGTCACAGGAGTTGCAATCAATCCAGCTGCTCTGTCAACTTCTACGGATGGTGTAAAGAAGGCAGAGCTTCTTAAGATCAGTTTTTCCTTGCAGATGGTACTAATGCTACAAAATTGATTCATCTATATTTCAAATTTAATTTTTCATTAGATGCCAGCTTTTTCATCATTCTCACTAAGAAGATTTAGATGCTGATCTCAAAATTGTTTATACTTTCATAAATATTGAATTGTTAGAAGTGTTATAGATTGTAAATACGACTTATCAAAAATTTTGGAAGAACATTGATCTGAGGTTCAAGTCTTTACGAAACCTGTATTATTCATTCTTTGAAACATGGCAAAACGATGCAACATGTAGTACTCAATTTCTTAGAATTCTACTTCCTGATTGATTGTTAGTTTCCATTAAAAAGACAATATTGGAGCGATGAGCTCTGATTGTCTCTTGCTAAAACCGAACTGTCAAGGGTCACCCCACTCCTTGACAGTTCCAAGAGAGGATCAATATGAGGTGTGTGGCTGTTTTGGGCCAGTCACCACTGCCCTTTCATTATTCTCTTCATTCTTCACGTTTGATAAATTTGTTGAACATTTATTTCCAAGTATATAACATAAGGTCTTGCTAGCAATCCGTCACTTAACCCTGCATTTGTTTCTCATCTTTGCAGAGCTTGCTGAAGAGGCAAATAGGCTTGTGAACTAAGGTTGTCTCTTCTCTTTTTTTTCTGTTATCTTGTTCTTGCACACTATAGTATTAAAGTAGATGGATAGACTATTGTTTTTCACAGTGTTGTCTTTATTTTGGTTGCATTCATTGTATAAACTAACAAATCACAGCATCATTTTATGATGGAATGATCATTCCATTCCGTTTCATTTGAGTGAACCAAACACTACCCACGTGTTTAATTATGACATTTGCAAGAGATTGGTGGAGCATAAAACACCAAAAGGAATCAAACAAGATTTTGTACAGGATATATGTGTGTCATATACGTGCGAGTGTATAAGCATATATATTGTAGAGTTAACTTCGGGGTATAAACAAGATGAGGGTGAATTACAAAAAATAAAAATATTTAAAGTCAAAAGGGTTAAGTTGTCAAGGCTGGAAACAAAATTAGGATTTTAACCAGAACCAAAAGCAAAGAAAATATGAATCCCAATACGTAAACATGTCACAATTTGAGAAACATAACAAATAGTGAGGACTAAAACAAGAGAGAGTGTACAAAAGTGATTATTCTACAAATTATGAACACCATTCTATTATTAAACAAAACTGATAACTAATAGTCATGTTTAGATCACCAGACCTTGCCCGCCTCCTGTTGTACTCCATCAAATCTCTTGCCCTATCACAAGAAATCAGTCTAACATGAGACAAGTTGTTGTTATACAAATTATGAAAACCATTCTATTATAAAACAAAACTGATAAATAATAGTTATGTTTAGATCACAATACCTTTCCCGTCTGTACGCCACATAATTACTTGCCCTACCACAAGAAATCAGTCAACATGAGACAAGTTATCCCAAATATTTATAAGCAATAACTTCTGAACAATATAAAAATGAATATAAAAATGAATAATGCTATATGTACCGATTAATATACTAACTAGTAACTAATATAATTTTAAAGGTTTTGGATATTTGTAATTTGAATAATAGATGGAATTAGTAATAATGGTATAACACTAGTTGGTAAATTAGTATGTACATTAATTGGTACATGTAACACCGCCGTATAAAAATCAAACATGAATAAAATATCACATACTCTAGGCCGACTGAAATACCAACATAAATTCCACCTATGTACATTGCTCCAATCAAAACTGGTACAATAACCGCAATTAAAGTTTGAATAATGTGTTCAAACTGACAGATATATTGATTGAGAATAAACAGAACAATAGTAAAAAGATAAACAACATACGGTTTCGAATTATTGTTTCGAATGAAGGCATCCTCAAATTCAGTTGCCAGCAACCTTGCATATGTTAAACATACATAATTTAATCATCTCCTCGAAACGCAACATCATGTCATATAGAATACAAAGGTAAACAATGGGAAAGAAATGGCGATACCAGATACTTCACCCTCTTCCCTTTCTTATAAACTGGTTTTTGTTTATTTTTTATTTATTTTTAGAAAAACATAAACTACAAACGCATTTGTTAATTGACAAAATATTTATAAAAAAATTAAAAATATAAAAAAGAGTAAGAAATGGCAAGTGGTGGCAAGTGGCGGCGGAAGACGGTGGTGGAAAGTGGTGACGGTGGGTGGTGTGTAGCTGGTGGTGGCGGTGGGTGGGTGGGTGACGGTAGCGGGTGGTGGGTGGTAGCAGAGTGGGTGGTGGATGGCGGGTGATGGTGGTGGGTGATGATGGTGGCGGGTGGTGATGATGGGTGGGTGGGTGACGGTAGCGGGTGGTAGGTGTAGCGAGTGGGTGGTGGTGGTAGTGGTGGTGACGGGTGGTGGCAGCTGGTGGGGGATGGCGGGTGTCGGTGGGTGGTGGCGGTTGGGTAGTGGTGGCGGGTAGGTGGCGGGTGGTGGTGGTAGTGAGTGGGTGGTGGTGGCGGCGGCGGTGGGTGGTGGTGGCAGGTGGGTGGCGGATGGTTGTGGTAAAGGGTGGTGGCGGGTGGTGATGGTGGTGGGTGGTGATAGTGGCAGGTGGTGGGTAGTGGTGGTGGGGTGGTGAGGGTGATGGTGGCAGGTGGGTGACGAATAGCAGGTGGTGGTGCTGGTGGCAGGCGGTGGTGGCAGTGGGGTGACGAATGGCAGGCTGGGTGGCGTGGTGGCAGGCGGCGGTGGTGGTGGTGGGTGGGATGGATGACGGTGGCGAGTGGGGTAGGTGGTGGCGAATGTGGAGAGGTGGCAGTGGTGGCTGTAGTGGTGGAGTGGATGGTGTAGTGGCGGGGTGGATGACAAGTGGGTGGCGGGTGGTGGGTGGTAGGTGGTGTGCGGTGGTGGTGGTGGTGGTGGGGTGGTAGGTGGTGGGGGTGGTGGGTGGTGGAAGACGGTGGTGGAAAATGGTGATGGGTGGTGGCTAGTGTTGAGTGGTAAAAAAAATAAATTAAAAACTCAAAATAGAAATAGCAATATTAAATTTATATTTTTTGGCCAAATTTATAAACTAAGATCACTGATTTATAAATCAAAAATTTACCAAACAAGTTTTTATTTGAGTTTTTAAAATTTTTGTAAATATAAACAGAAAACTGAAAATATAAGTGTTACCAAACGGCACCTAAACAACACCTCTTCTCTGGTTTTTTTTTTTAACAGAACCCCTCTTCTCTCGTTATGTCGTGTATATATACATTAGTGTTCAATTGAGATAAATAAGTATAAAAATAAATAATAAAGAAATTAATATTATAATATATATATGTTGTTTAAATGATGTAGATTGTTTAAACAATAAGAGTGTTTTTAATAAAATCTAAGGTTTTGAGTTTAATTCTTGTTTTTAAGATTGGAAAATTTGCCACGTGACATATGGAGAAACCATTATACTATTAGACATTAAGGCCAAGTTTGGCATGTCTTGAAAAAGATAAAAAGTCAAAAAGTCACTATCCTATTTAAGTCACATCATCTTATTTAAGTCACATCACCTCTCTAACACATCACTTCAAACCCAATACAAACCCAACCCATATTTCATAAAAAGTCAAAAAGTGTACTTATTTAGATCATCCCAAATAACCCCTAAGTCATGTGCTCATATATATAATAGTGTATATGAGGCCCGTGCCGACTTGCATTTTTTTTTGAAAAGATTGACTAATAAGTCTCATATTTTGGACTTGTAATTTATATAGTCTCATATTTTTTTTTGTGATCCATTTAATCATTTTAGATGTGTAATGACTCATTTGTCGATTACATTTGTGACGCTGCAATTTTTTTTTTTACTTTTTTATTTTTATTTTTTTGAGACATCATAACAATAACTTGCTAGATAAAAATTTTAACTACTAATTAGGAAATTTTAAATGCTTACATAGTCAAGGTCCAACAACAAAATAAAACTACAAGTTCACACGCAACGTCACAGCATAGTTAAATACTAATACAAGAGATAATAGGATTTTATTTTGATAAAATCTTGACTCTAAGTTAGCCAAGGTTCGATATTAGCAGTAGCTCCAATTTCAGCCTCAGTCCCTTCTTCGACATAATCTGGCATGAAACGCCAAGGCAACAAAATATATGCCATGAGTTTTGCAACACAGTAAGAAAACATAACCAACCTACCATTCTTTTTGAGAGAAAATAATGAGATTATAAACACGAGGTAATAATATAATCGTAAACATAAATTACAACCATTAAAATATTTCAAATAATTTTAATATCTTAGGTGACCTTTGAAATCTCACCAAAGAGGTTTAACTTACCAACCACTAAGTCATGGACACGGTTAATTTGGAAACTCCTCCTTGGTCAAATATTCAAGAACTACCAAAGATGTCCACGCCTGGAGTTATATACCCAAGCCGTGACATCCGTGGTCTGCCCCAAGGGAACGGTCTGCCAGGGGTACGTAACTACCCTACGTGCCACCCACACATCCACCCTTATTCCAAAACCAAATACCGATAAGGGTTCAAATAATCTCCGTGCCAACTTAGGGTTTCGCGACACAATTTACTTAAAAGTTATTAAAAACCAGGGCTCACCCTGCATACCCGGTATTGTAACGACCCCATCACGTATAATGATTAGTACTTGATTAATTAAGAGGATTTGAAATTAATTGCCGTGTATTATAATTTAATTTGAAATTTATGAGAATTGTGGGATCTGACTCGTATATGATTCTATTAGAGATTTATTTTGGAATTAGAAATTAAGGGTCCAAATGGCTTAAGGAAGTGAAGTTAAGAAGTTGAATCAATTTAATCTTAATTATGGACCCATTTAGGAGCTTAATTAAATATTTGATTCAGTTTAGTAAAATTGAGATTCGATTAATTAGACCCGAATTGGAGAAATTAAGTTAATTAAATTATGAGAATTGAGAATTGTGATTATTACGAATTAAATTTATTTATGGGGTGTCCAATTTGGATATGTAATTTATTGATGACCGACTTGCATTTTTTTTTGAAAAGATTGACTAATAAGTCTCATATTTTGGACTTGTAATTTATATAGTCTCATATTTTTTTTTGTGATCCATTTAATCATTTTAGATGTGTAATGACTCATTTGTCGATTACATTTGTGACGCTGCAATTTTTTTTTTTACTTTTTTATTTTTATTTTTTTGAGACATCATAACAATAACTTGCTAGATAAAAATTTTAACTACTAATTAGGAAATTTTAAATGCTTACATAGTCAAGGTCCAACAACAAAATAAAACTACAAGTTCACACGCAACGTCACAACATAGTTAAATACTAATACAAGAGATAATAGGATTTTATTTTGATAAAATCTTGACTCTAAGTTAGCCAAGGTTCGATATTAGCAGTAACTCCAATTTCAGCCTCAGTCCCTTCTTCGACATAATCTGGCATGAAACGCCAATGCAACAAAATATATGCCATGAGTTTTGCAACACAGTAAGAAAACATAACCAACCTACCATTCTTTTTGAGAGAAAATAATGAGATTATAAACACGAGGTAATAATATAATCGTAAACATAAATTACAACCATTAAAATATTTCAAATAATTTTAATATCTTAGGTGACCTTTGAAATCTCACCAAAGAGGTTTAACTTACCAACCACTAAGTCATGGACACGGTTAATTTGGAAACTCCTCCTTGGTCAAATATTCAAGAACTACCAAAGATGTCCACGCCTGGAGTTATATACCCAAGCCGTGACATCCGTGGTCTGCCCCAAGGGAACGGTCTGCCAGGGGTACGTAACTGCCCTGCGTGCCACCCACACATCCACCCTTATTCCAAAACCAAATACCGATAAGGGTTCAAATAATCTCCGTGCCAACTTAGGGTTTCGCGACACAATTTACTTAAAAGTTATTAAAAACCAGGGCTCACCCTGCATACCCGGTATTGTAACGACCCCATCACGTATAATGATTAGTACTTGATTAATTAAGAGGATTTGAAATTAATTGCCGTGTATTATAATTTAATTTGAAATTTATGAGAATTGTGGGATCTGACTCGTATATGATTCTATTAGAGATTTATTTTGGAATTAGAAATTAAGGGTCCAAATGGCTTAAGGAAGTGAAGTTAAGAAGTTGAATCAATTTAATCTTAATTATGGACCCATTTAGGAGCTTAATTAAATATTCGATTCAGTTTAGTAAAATTGAGATTCGATTAATTAGACCTGAATTGGAGAAATTAAGTTAATTAAATTATGAGAATTGAGAATTGTGATTATTACGAATTAAATTTATTTATGGGGTGTCCAATTTGGATATGTAATTTATTGATGAGAATTTAAGTCTGATCAGAAATTGAAGACCTAAATGATTTGAGAAACCAAAGTTTTTTTTGGGTGAATAAGAAACCAAAGTTGATAATGTCAATAAGTGTAATTTGATATTTGGAGTCTTTTGGAGGTTTGATTAAAACATCTGATTCTGATTCGTAGAATTTGGAATGATTAAGGTTATTGGGTTAATTAAGTTGTGTGGTAATCATAATTAATTAGGACTAAGTGAAATCAATATAAATTAAGAATTAATTTAAAGTAATTTGATTTGATACTAAGCATAATTAATTAAGTCTAATTATGAGTCATTAGCAATTAATTTAATTATATCCAATTAAACATTAAAACAAAAAAATGTAGAAAGAATGAAAGTGTTCTAGAATCTTTGATATATAAAAGAAAAAGAAAGAAATGAAATCAAAAAGAAAAAGGAGATGCATGTGTCCTGGGCTAGAGAAACGCACGGCAGAGAGAGAGAGAGAGAGAGAGTTTTCAAGAAGAAAGGAAGAAGAAGCGAAGAAGGGGGTTTAGAAGGACACCAAGATTTAAGCCAAAAAAATTGTGGAAAATCATCTTAAGGTAAGAAATTTCATCCTCTTTCTTGTATTGTTTAAATAATTTAGACAAAAATTGATTCAAGGATTATTTAGAGAAACTATGAGTTGAGATGGGTTTCAAGAGAGTTTCATGGAGAGTATGTTTTAAATCAATTAATCTCCAAATTCCTTGTAGATGAATGTTCTCCAAAAGATTATAAATTTTCTATACATGAATTAAACATATAAATCTGAAAATTGAGTGTTAATTTAAGAAGATGAAGAAAATCAAGTTAAGTGTAGGATTATGGAAATAAATTTGAAAGTTAGTTAGTTTGAGTTTGATTTTTTTATTATTCTTCATAAATTTGAGGTTCATCCTTACATGCATGTTAGAATTTCAAAGTTTTAGATTTAATTCATGTGTAAAAAAACTTATGAGATTAAATTTGGGTTTGCATGTAAAATCAAGTTAGGACCAAGAGTATGAATTATGAGTTCTTTAATTTGTTAAACTTGGATTCAATTTCATATAAGTAGAAGAAGTTAGCAAGATGATGAATAAATGGAGTTATGTTCAATTTATGGAATCTAATGATACATACATCATGGATTTTGAAGGAATTGGATTAATTCAATCTCATATTTTGAAGAGAAAAAGGAAATGTTTTATGAACATCAAGTTTATGAAAAATTAGAATTAATCCTAATGCTAGATAAAGTTTTGATTTTATAATTAGATTTTTAATCCATGCATGTAATGTAATTTAAGATTTTATTTGAATTAAACATATTTTGATTACAAATTAAGTTGAGTTTAAGATTATGGAAATTAGTTAGAAAATTTATAAGAAGTTTCATGACTCCAATTTCATGATTTCAAGGAAAATAGAAAGAACTTGAGGCCAATTTTATGTAATTAAAGAGAAAATGAGAAATTGAAGCTATGATCAAATGTGTGAAAATTAATTTAGAAATGAATTACTTTGGGTGGAATTTATTTGTCCTATTATGAAATTGAGTTCCAATTGTACGTACATTATGAATTTTTCAAGAGTTTTGAAAGTTTAATTCGTATTTTAAAATTTGTGGGCTTGAAATTGGGTTTGATATGGAGAAGATGAGTTAAAACTAAATTTGGACAATTGGAGCATGATTTTGAATGAATGATTTCTAATTGAAAGTGTTTACTAAATTATCCAATGGTTCTCCATTTTTGTGTACCAAAAGTACATGTTTTGAGGCTTTGAATACCAAATTTGAACTTCAATTGCAATTTTGGAATTTTAGAATTTACGTTGTCCGCTCGAGCGAGGAAAGTCTCGCTCGAGTGTGAAAATCGAGCTCCAGTAGTTTTCAAATTTTACTGTCCGTTCGAGCGGCCAAAGTGGCGCTCGAGCGGAGACCCATTTTCAGCATATTTTGGAAAATTGCATTTGGTTCACATTTTTTTTTATTCTCAACTCTTTCCAAAGCATTCTAGACATCATTTGTGACTCAATAAAGATTAATAAGCTACCAATCAACATAGATTAGTTAGTTAAAGAATGAATCATTGATCTAGTGGTAATTGTTTAAGAAGCCAAGTAAAAGATTAATCTATTTGGAAAAGAAGGGCTTAGTAATGAAAGAATATGTGAAATAAGAACCCGGTTTATTTGAATGAGAAAGAATAAGCGTAGTAGAACTTTGGACTATTTAGACGGAAAAAGACTAGAAAAGTCAAGTTTGATCAAGGGAGTAATATTGTATTTCAATGTGTACATGTTATGTGCTTGTGTAGGTCGCGCGCCATTATCTGCCTGTTTTATCTGATATGTCCAGTCTGTCTGATTTGCTTCTGTAGCCATCTGTAAGTAATAACTTTGTAAAGTTATGTTCAATATTAAATATTTTATGAACATTATGACATAAAATGATTAGTCTTCTGAAATGCTACGCTATGTTTTGAATGAATGAATGATTGTCCAAGATTCTGAAAGTTATTCGTGGCATCCTTAGCTTCATATGATATGCGTCTCTTTATGGGTCATTAGGTCCCTTCATGGGTCAGCAGGTCCCTTTATGGGTCATCAGGTCCCTTCATGGGTCATCAGGTCCCTTTATGGGTTATCAAAAACGTCTTTGTGCACATGAGTCATCGGAATGCCTTTAAAGCCGTCCCTTTATGGGTCATCGGATTTGTTAACGCTAATGGATGTACCACGTATGATTATATGCGAAATCTGAATATGGAAATGATTATGAATATGTATATGAATCTGTTTCTGATTTGGAATCTGAATATGCGTAAGACTCTGTTTCTGATAAGAATTTGATTTCTAACTCTGTGATGGACATCATTCATTAAATCCTTTACTCTGTTATTATTCACTAGGCCCCAGCTCATTGTTTTTATATATATATATGTATGTAGGTGATCAGGCGCATGACCAAGCTTAGAGGCGTTTGCCTGGAATCAGTTCTTGACAGCCAACCTATGTGCCTCCCGTGGAGGTTCCAGACATGACTAGTGGTTATGGCTAAGTGCATAAGTTGAAGTTTTATTTTCCTGTCCAGCTAGACAAGTCCTTGTGTATTGTGTAAATAAGGCTAAGTCCCTTATGTCAGCTTATATATGTATATATATGATGATGTGTATATAAGTATATAAAAAGTTTAAAATTTTTCTGTCTCATATAAGTCTGCACAGCTCAATGGACGATGTATATTTGTTATTTGCTTCCGCTAGCCTCTAATATTATGTTAATTTGTCTCAGAGGCCTTCGGTAATCCAAGGATTACTGGCCGGTTACGATGCTAAACCTATAGGGGCGGGTTTGGGTCGTGACAGGTATTAACCCTCTATCAGTAACATTATTCATATTGATTAATTCATAGATCAAACCCATAATCTAAAAATTTATCATGAAACTAGACTTCTCAAATTTCATCTTTTAGTTAGAAATTACTAGATTTGGCTTAGTATAGAATTTTAAATAAATTTTCAAATACATAGTAAAATTTGTCTCACAGTTTCAGATTTAGTTAAAATTTTGTATAAATTCGTAGAAAGCTCAAAAATTGTTTCCAAAATTTTTGGATGAACTAGATATCATTATCAACAACTTTGTAGAAGAAATCATCTCGAAATTTTGAGTATAAAATTGTCTAAAAATTCGAGTAAACATGCTGGCAGATTCAAAACAGATTATTTTCGACACAGTTTCAGATTTAGTTAAAATTTTGTATAAATTCGTAGAAAGCTCAAAACTTGTTTCGAAATTCTGGATAAACTAGACATCATTATCAACAACTTTGTAGAAGAAACCATCTCGAAATTTTGAGTATAAAATTGTCTAAAAATTTGGGTAAACATGCTGGCAGATTCAAAATAGATTATTCCCGACACAGTTTCAGATTTAGTTAAAATTTTGTATAAATTCGTAGAAAGCTCAAAAATTGTTTCCAAAATTCCTGAATGAACTAGACATCATTATCAACACCTTTGTAGAATAAATCATCTCAAAATTTTGAGTATAAAATTATCTAAAAATTCGGGTAAACATGCTGGTAAATTCAAAACAGATTATTCTCAACACAGTTTCAGATTTAGTTAAAAATTTGTATAAATTCGTAGAAAGCTCAAAAATTGTTTCCAAAATTCCTGGATGAACTAGACATCATTATCAACAACTTTGTAGAAGAATCATCTCAAAATTTTTAGTATAAAATTGTCTAAAAATTCGGGTAAACATGCTGGCAAATTCAAAACAGATTATTCTCAACACAGTTTCAGATTTAGTTAAAATTATGTATAAATTCGTAGAAAGCTCAAAAATTGCTGCCAAAATTTCTGGATGAACTAGACATCATTATCAACAACTTTGTAGAAGAAATCATCTCGAAAGTTTGAGTATAAAGTGTCTAAAAATTCGGGTAAACATGCTGGCAGATTCAAAACAGATTATTCTCAACACAGTTTAGACAATTTATCATATATAAACTGAAAATTTCAAATATATAAAAAAAAATGAGAGGATTAAGAGGGTTTTCTTACTTAATAGTAGGATTCAAATGGGTGATGAAGTGATAGAAAAATTTTGCTTCCTTAACCTTCCCCTCTTCTTTTCCTTCTACTGAATCTCTCCTCACCCGTATATACTCTTTCTTTTGTTTGTATGTGTCCATGAACTAAGTCTACCTATGATATATATAGGCAGATTTCTCTCTCTCTCTCTCTCTCTCTATCTATCTATCTCTCTCTCTCTCTTCATGATGTTATTCCCTGCCATAAACTTCACTCTACCCAAAAGCCATCATTTGGTGGAATTCACCAAGCCAACATGCAAGTTAGCATGTGGCATACCCTTGTCACCGAATCTGATTCTCCTATATAGATATTTTTTTAATAATAATTTATAACAATAATTATTGAACATCAATACCTTATTATTCTTAATAAGGTCTTTGTTAGTGATAGAATTGGGTTAATTTAAAACTATTTTTTTTTTCACTATTCTATATTTTAGGTAGGTTCTGAATAACATTAATTAATTTATTTATTTTCTTTTAAGAATAATTTAAATATGGATTTTCACAACATTGGAGTGTCACATTTGAAAAAAGTACATTAAATTTTTTTTTAATGTCATATCATAATCGTCGCCACATTTGGGAGCAGCACACTAAAGAGTTTTTAATTTTTTTAGAGTGTCACATCATATCCGTCACATTAGAGTGTTACATGTCACGTTTGGAAAAAATACACTAAGAAATTTTTAATTTTTTTGGAGTGTCACATCATACTCGCCACGTTGTCATATTTGAGAAAAGTACACTAAGGAGTTTTTTTTTTGAGGTGTCAAATCATACCCACCACGTTGCCACATTAGAGAAAAGTACACTAAAGTGTTTTTATTTTTTTAAAAGTATCATATCATACTCGCCACGTTGTTGCATTAGAGAAAAGTATACTAAAATTTTTATTTATTTTTTTGAATAAAAGTTTTGGAGTGTCACATCACACCCGCCAGGTTGTCACATTTAGGAAAAGTATATTAAGGAGTTTTTAATTTTTTTGAAGTATCACATTAATACCTTTCACATTAGAGTATTATATTATACCTATCACATTACTAAAAGGGTATGGATGTCTACAAAAATACTACCAAAATCAAAAATAGGACTACACGGAAATAAACTCTCTACTAATAGGACTTAACAGATCAATAAAAAAAATAGAATTAATTGGAGTACTTGTTTGTGAGATGAGATTTATTAATAAATATCCTTTTCATTTTTTTTTCTCTTTCTTTTTTATTTTTTTATTTTTTTTAATGGGAGGATTATTTGCTAATACGGAAATGTCGTTTTAGCAGTATGATAATTTGTAAGTTATCTCTTTCAACTATTATTTAATATCTAATGGAATATTTAAAATGATATTATTAATATATTTAGTTTAATTTTTAAAAATTATTTTGGAGCTTATTATTATTTTATTATTTGTAGTGAAATTTTTTCATATTTAATTTTTTCAGAAACTTTTATCATTAAGATTCAAATTAGAAAAAATTAATAGACGGATTAAGTGTTATAATTTTTAGTTAAAGGGGTAAAATAATATGGACCAATAACTGCCAGAGTTAAAAGCTATAATCTATACCCATAAGCTACATCGTGCCTGTTTGGCACAGCTTATTTTCAACTTAAATCCACTTATAGCTTAAAATAAGTGATTTTGGAGTGTTTGGTGTAGCTTATGGGTGTAGATTGTAGCTTTTTATAAGTGAAAAATGAGTTTTTTGGTTAAGTGAGGGAAGAGGTGCTTTTCGAAAAAGCTTAAGCGGGAAGCTGCCATTTGAGGGGCAAAATGACTTAAATGCGCCTCACAATTTCAAGTTATTACAAGTGTGCCATGTATATAAATCAAAGCACACTCATTTTTCTCTCTCGCAAGAACCAGAGAGGCGATTCCCGGCGAATGGAGGCGATTTTCGGCGACGGCAGGGGATTTCTAGTTCTCTCTCTTTCTCTCTCTTTCTCTCTCTTTGGTTCATGCGGTTTGAAACCCTAACGTCGTGGTCTGAAACCCTAACGTCACGATCGGAGAACCACTACCATCGCATCAACGAACTAGAGCTCTCTTTCTCTTTCTCTCTCTTCATGATCTCTCTTTTCTTTCTCTCGCTCGCTCTCCTTCTTTCTCACAATCTGCTACGTCGTCACCTCTGGTCACCACCGCGATGGCGATCTGAAACCTATCCATTGCTATCGCGATCGACCCGTGTTCTCTCCCCATCTCTCTCTCTCTACGATAGCAATTGCGATTTGAAACCCTAACCACCGCCATCCCCCTCTCTCTCTCTCTCTCTCGATCTGTGTTGTTTGTCACTGTCGCCGTCACCATCGCGATCACCATCGCGATTTGTGTTGATCTGCATTGGAACCCTAGCCACCGGCAGTTGTTCGCTGGCGGCATTGAAACCCTAGAAAAAAAAATTGAAGAAAAAGAAAAAAATCAATATTAATATTAATTAAAAAATAAAAAAATTGTATATTTTTGAAGAAAAAGAAAAAAAATCAATATTAATTAAAAAATCAATATTAATTGGTATTATTTATTAATAAATTAATATTGTATATTTTGTAATGAATTAATTATTAATTGATACTAATTAATAAAAATTGTTGATTATTAATATTATGTTATACTAATAAAAATTAATTATTAATTTTAATTGATACTAATTAATAATTTTAGTAATAATTCAGACTAATTAAGCCATTAATTGATACTAATTAATAATTTAAGTATTAATTGATACTGATTAAGCAATTAATTGATACTATTTAATTTATAATGGAAAAAAATTGTTACAATAATGCTTCCATTACATTTTTATCAAATGTATCAATTTTTATATTAGTTGATACTAATTAATACTAATTATATTAACTTTTATTAATGAAATAATTTGTTTAAATTAAAACTAAAAAAAAAATGACAAAATTATCATTTTTATATCATATAAGGGCAAAAAGGTCAATTATACAGGAAAAAAACTATTTTACAGCTTATCAATCAAACACTGCTCTACTGCTTAAATCTATAATCTCATAGCTGCACCAAATAGGTTAACAACTTATGTTCGCAGTTATAAGCTATAATCTGTTAAGTTATAATCTATAATCACTTTCTCATAACTCTACCAAATGGGGGCCTTTGTATGTATGAGAAGTCGGAGACAATTCATTGAACTTGCTGGGGCAGAGAGAGAGAGAGAAAAAAAAAGAAAAGAAAAGAGGAGCTCACCTTCATCGTGCTGGAGGAATTTTGACAAAAAACTTAGAGGAAAGGCTAAGGTTAAAAGAAAGGAAGAATAACAACAAAGAAGAGAAGGGGAAAATCATCAAGAAATTATCAATCAAGACTATAGGTGAGAAATCTAAGCCTAATTCTTGCAAGAACTTTATGTAATAATTGAATTCAAGGAATAATTTGTTGTTGATATTGTGTAATTAAATAAACAAATAGATTCATATTTAGAAATTAAAATTTCAGAACCAGAAAACATGTTGGAAATTATAAAATAGAAATACATAATAAAATAA